ACGAGTCTCACTCACGATTGGATAGTCAGGGTGCTCAATGTTAATTTCTCCAACAGCTTTGTCTTTCCTAATCCTAGTAGCAGCCTCACAGAACCCTGGGAGCCCTGGGGGAAATATTTGAAGTTATTTTAGCATTAAACACAGAACTTGATCATATCAAATATTTAGCATGTTTGGCAAAACAAAACATTTCCCCAATGAAATCTCTCTTTCCACACAATGGCTTCACGGTCCCAGACTCGGTGTCTGTCTGCAAAGTGTGGGAGAGAATTCGTTTTGCAGGTGGTGTTTCTCCTCCTCCACTGGGGAGGGATCTCGGCTCCTGCTGCCCAGAGTGTGGTCCATGGACCAGCAGCTTCAGCATCGTCTGGGACAGATTGGCTTTAGAGCTCACTCCAGAGAGCAGAGCCTGGGCTCCCGTGGACCTGGCGGCAGTTGCCCAAGAAACACCCAGAAAAGAGGCGGCACCAGCTCCCACTGCCACTGCGGGACTGACTACGTCTCCTCCGCCCTCTCTCCCCTGCCCACAGGGATGTGCTCATCCCTCCCACCTGAAAAATGCAGGAATTGTCCAGGGAAGAGGGAGATCATTCAGGACACAAGCGTCTCCTATTTTAATACATTTTTAGTAAAATAAAATCTTCTTTATTTTGTACATCTCATGCACATGGTTAATCCAATGGTAACTAGAAATAGCTGGGATAGAGAAAATGTAAAAGTTATAATCCTATATACGTTAATTATATATTTAAACATTGAATCCCAACTAGTAGTTTAACCTGAGCGAGAACTTGAATCTTCACAATCTTACTGTAATATAAGCATATACTAGTACATATGTATTTTTTAAATATATAAAATGTACTATCATGAGCTATCAAATCTGGAAGCAGTTTCACTGTTGTAGTGCTATACGCAGATTCTTCCACAAGAGGGCGCGTCAGCTAAATATATTGAAGGGAAGTGAAAAAGGTGTGTTTTCTCCATGATAAAAATACCATTAAAAAAAAAAATCAAAAGGCTTTTGAATCTGTACTCATTACTGTATATCAGTAAAAAGTAATTTCACATGAAACCATCCAGATATTCACCTGGAGCTTTATAAGGTGGGGAGTCTATGATCAAAGAAAGTCAAAACAAAATAGAATCTTACAGAATTAGTGCTGGAAGGAAACTTTAAAAAAACTTACAAAAGAATTAATTTAGAAGTAGCCTCATCTCGGTCCAAATATTTTTAAAGTAAGAAATCTTAGAAATAGTATTTAAGATTTTACTGAAATTGGAGAAACCAAGGCTTAGAGAACTAATTTGCCCAGGGCCAGACTCCAGGCCCCCAGCCCCAACTCCACGCTTTCTCCCACTATGTTCCAACGTATTAATGCTCTCGATCTCTATCAACATCTACCCATACTTTTCTATCTGTCTAGAGCAGTGGTTGGCAAACCGAGGCTCGCGAGCCACATGAGGCTCTTTGGCCCCTTGAGTGTGGCTCTTCCACAAAATACCGACTTTTGCGCATGGGCCAAGAAGTTTCAATCGCACTGTACGTGCGCACCTGCACGTGGTATTTTGTGGAAGAGCCACACTGAAGGGGCCAAAGAGCCGCATGTGGCTCGTGAGCCAGCCACGGTTTGCCGACCACTGGTCTAGAGTAAATAATTATCCTCCTGATTCTCAGGTCCTGGGAGAGGTCACCGTAGCTCCTGGCTTTTGGATGGAGCACCAGGTAATCCCGCTGCTTGTGCCAGTGTGGGTGGAACTGGGCTCCTCCCGCCGCAGGCCTCCTGCCTGAAATCATGTCCCATGCTCCCCTGGGGCCTCGCTGTGGCTATTTCTGATTATGTAAATAACTCATTGATTATACTTTCTTATCTTAATTTCTCCATTGGTTTTCTTTAATGATTCCTCTGTACATTAGGAATTTGATGGTTGCTCTAGCGAGATACAGATATATGCGTATATTTGTATATGTAGATATTTAACTTTTCACAGTCTACTTAGAGTTAACATTGTACCACTGCACATAAAATGTTACGAACTTTTGCAACTGTGTAGGTTCATTTCCTACTCCTCCCCATCCTTTATGCTATCATTGTCATACCTATTACGTCTGTATAACATTACATATCCCACAATGTCCTTTTTAAAAATATATGTATTTTTTTATTGATTTCAGAAAGGGAGAGGGAGAGAGAAATAAAAAAACATCAACGATGAGAGAGAATTATTGATCTGCTGCTTCTTGCATGCTCCCTACTGGGGGTCAAGCCCGCAACCTTGGGCATGTGCCCTGACCAGGAATCAAACGGTGATCTCCTAGTACATAGGTCAACCCTCAACCACTGAGTCACACCAGCCAGGCTAAATGCCCTTTTGTAGGTAAATATTTCCTGTTGCCTACAGATCCATTAAAAAGGGACAAGAAAAGAGAGAAGTTCCCAAGGACAGCTTTCCAACTTTAACCGTGGAAAAGCTTTATCAATAACAACTGAAGGGAGGCCATCAGTGTACACACAACGTGTATCTCCACATCTGGGGAAGCAATGCTTCAAGGAGTCTCTATTTTAAAGCGGTTCCATTTTATTCCACTTCTGAGTATAAGCAGGCTCGTGGGGGACAGGGCTTTGATACGGCAGAGCCTGTCAGGGAGCCTGCCAAACACAACTGAAAATTACCCGCCCACATACTGTTTCTATGAATAGCTTGTGTCACCCACAGGAGATTCAGAAACACAAAGCGAAAGATGATTCCCCCTGCTAGCCCAACAAGCTCATTCAGTCATTCTCGAAAAACGGGTGTGATTTTGACTCAGCATAACGTCTGCCTGGCCCATTCACCTCTCGACAATAAGGTAGAAGAAAAGGCGAGCTCACCAGGGAGCGGCGGCGAAAGCATGAGGAAGAGTTGGTGACAGCCTACCGTTGAAATGATGAGAGCAAGCTGAGCTTCGACTGGGAAAATTCCATCCAGGAAGAATGTCATCAGAAAAGACCTGGAGAGGAGACCTGGAGACCAGGTATTACTCAGTGTCTGTCTGGTCTACCAGCACACAGACTGTGTGAGGGCAGGAGAAGGGTGTTGGGGTGTATGACAAAGGAGTCACTAGATATGTGTCCCTAAAAAGGATGATTGGTACCCAGATAAGACAACAGGTACAGAAACAAAGAAAACACGATGGATAAATAGGCGGAGACCTTTGTGCAGAATGAATGATCAAGAGGGTGGCTGAGTGCCCTGCAGGCGTGGCTCAGTGGTTGAGTGTCGACCTATGAACCAGGAGGTCACGGCTCAATTCCTAGTCAGGACACAGGCGCAAGCGGTGACTCAATCCCCAGGGAGAGGCCTGCAGGAGGCAGCCGATCAATCATTCTCATCATTGATGTTTCTATCTCTCTCCCTCTCCCTTCTTGAAATCAATAAAAAATAAATTTTGGGAGGGGAAAGAGAGTGGGTGAGTGATCTGCTTATAACGACACAACGTAAAGCAAAGACCTAGTTCTGATAAAATCAGATTAGTTATGAAAGAGGAAGAGTAAACTGTCTCGGACAGTGGGCCCCGTCACCCCAGCTGCTTGTGAAATCTTGCCCTGGCATTTCAACGAGCTCTCATGATCTCAAAGCTGGGTTAAACCGTCAGAGGACAGAGGTTCTAAGAACCAGAGTGACTCTTCAAGGCATGTGGGCATGTGAGCGTCAAGCTGACCTTTCAGTGGCAGCCAGAGTCCAAGCCTGGGCTTGTCAGGAAGGTGAGTTCTGCGCAGCATCTCCTGACCTCCTGGCTGTGACTCAGAAAACACAACATCGGATCCCTGAGACACAGCCTTGCTCTTTATAATCGCACTCCCATCTCATTCACTAACTGGAGTCCCGATGCACGAAATCTGTGCAAGGGGCTCAGCCCTTCGCAGCCTGGCTTTGTCTGGGAGGTCGTCTGAAGGTCGCCTGGCTGTCCGGTCTAATACGCTTTTATTATTATAGATGGAAGCATTTGACTTGTGCATTCACCTGTTTCCCCTCCTGGAATTCCATGGGCTCCCTTTAGTCTCTACATAGCAGCTCAAACAATGAATACTGAGTTGTCACAAAAGAATATTTATAAATTATGTTATGGTATAAAGCAGTGGTTCTCAACCTTCCTAATGCCGCGACCCTTTAATACAGTTCCTCATGTGGTGGTGACCCCCAACCATAAAATTATTTTCGTTGCTACTTCATAACTGTAATTTTGCTACTGTTCTGAATCGTCATGTAAATATCTGATATGCAGGATGTATTTTCATTGTTACAAATTGAACATAATTAAAGCATAGTGATTAATCACAAAAACAATATGTAATTATATATGTGTTTTCCGATGTGTTTTCCGCCTTTCACAGGCGACCCCTGTGAAAGGGTCGTTCGACCCCCAAAGGGGTCGCGACCCACAGGTTGAGAACCACTGGTATAAAGGATCATGATAGATTGTTCCTTTGCTCAACCTTTCCTCTTCCCTGTGCTCCATCTTTGAGATCTTCAGCATTTGTCACCATATAACAAATAGCTCATTAGTTCTATTCGTTGTTTATCTTTAAGAACCAGAAATCGTCTTTTCTGTTCCCTGCCTTTCCCCTGCACAAGGAGGGCTCTAAATAACATTTCTTTTTTTTTTTTAATATATTTTATTGATTTTTTACAGAGAGGAAAGGAGAGAGATAGAGAGTTAGAAACATCGATGAGAGAGAAACATCGATTAGCTGCCTCCTGCACACCTCCTACTGGGGATGTGCCCGCAACCCAGGTACATGCCCTTGACCGGAATCGAACCTGGGACCTTTCAGTCCGCAGGCCGACGCTCTATCCACTGAGCCAAACCGGTTTCGGCTAAATAACATTTCTTGAATGCGCGTGTGAGCAACCTCACTTGTATCTACCACTCAACCGAAGGAATCAGACTAATCTCCTGCACGACCCTCCTCTGTTCCACCCTCTTTCCTCCCCATCAGATGTGGCCATGAGTCTAAGCTTGTTTATCACACCCCTGCTTTCCTTTACCCTCTGGGTGCTTGAAACACCACGTGTTTGTGTCCCTAAAAATAGACTGCTTGGCTTTGCATTGTTTTTCACTTCCTATCAATGCAATCACACGATGCGCCTTCTTCTGCGATTTGCTTCTCTCACCCAACACTGTGTTTTTGAAGCTCATCCGTGTCGTGTGTAGTGGTCTAGGGCATGATCATACCACAGTGAACTGATCCATGTTGCTGTTTACTGTCATTGGGACAATGTGTCGTTTTGGTGTTACAAAGATCATCGCTATGAACCCTCTTCTGCATGACCCTGTACAATTGTGCCAGTTTCTTCACACTGCATATGTCAGCGTGAACTTGCTAGAATGTCAGGTCTTTGATTTTAGCCTTGAGTAGATAGTGCCAGATTCTTTCCAAAGAGACTGCTCCAATTTATGTTCCCCTCAGCACTGCCTAAATGAACTGGCTGTTCCACATTCTCCTGTAACTCGATGTTATCAGACGTTTACATTTTTGCCAATCTGTTGGCAAAAAAAAAACCAAACAGTCCCATGGTTCCAATTAGCATTTCCTTGATTATCAATGACATTGAGTTTCTTTTCTTTGTTTATTTGGGTTTCTTCCATAAATTATCTCTTCATCATTTTTTTTTACTGGGTTGTCATTCTGTTTCTTATTTGTAAGCAACCCTTACATATTCTGGAAATAAATAACTTGTGAGTTATATGTGTTGCAATATGTTCTCCCAGTTGTGGGACTAAGGGATTTTTTACTTTATTTGTGTTTTCTTTTCATCAACAGAAATGCTTAATTTTAGTGTAACTGAATATATATTTTTTCCTTATGATATTTATACAAGGTGCCCCCCCAAATGTATGCACACTTCACAGCTGATGGCTCAGTTGATGTTTCTTTCTTTTCAGATTTAACCCATTGGAATTAATAATTCAAAAGTGTGTATGCATTTTGGGGGGTCACCCTGTCTATATTTATATCTTTACAAAGAAATCCTTAATTCAGAAGTTATAAGGATATTTGATGCTGTCTTCTGATTGTTTAAAGTTCCCCCTTTTACACGTGAGTCTTTAACCCACCTAGAATTGTAAGGCACCCATGTGCATGTGTGTAACCAGTTGTCCAGGCACTATTTGTTGAAAAGTCCAGTCTGTTCGCACTAGTTGGCGCCTGTCAGTTCCATAATGTGTCATTTCTGTATTTGTACGGGTATGTGTGTGTTGTTCCATTGGTCTCTCGGTCTATCCTTTCACACAATATTTATTATTTTAATGTAATTTTTTATTTTCTTGTGGTCAGAACACTTTACATGAGAGCCACCTTCTTAACAGATTCATGAGTGTGCAGTACAGATGCTTGTCTACAGGCACAATGTCTTACAGCAGGTCTCTAAGCTTATTTATCATATAACTGAGACTTTACACCCCTTGAGTAACAACACCCCATTTAAAAACACTTTAGTAAGACTCCGAAACTACCTCCCCAACATAATCAGAATACTTCTCAGGAACCAGAGCCTAATGGAGCAAAACTAGAAGCGTTTTCATTTACACCAGATGAAAAAAAGGGTACTTGTTATTGAATACAATTTAAATTGTGCTGGAAGTGCTAAATAATGCAACAATTCAATACCAAACAGTCTACCAGCTGGGGAGGAGGAGGCAATGTTCCCTTATTTCCAGATGCTATCACTATATTTATGAAAAAAAAACACTGAAGACCGTAAGAGAATTCTATAAGGTGCTCAATTGTAAAATTTATATGCAAAAATCAACAGATTCCTTTCTCGGGAAACATTTTCATTCGAGAAGACATTATACTCATGAAAACAGTAAAAAACAATGAATCATTTTTTACCCACTTACAATTAAAATATCATCTTAAAGAAACACAAACACACAAAATCTCAGTAAGATACAAAATATCTATGAATCCCAATAGTAACTAATAATAATACCTTTTAAGCAGTTAACAGTGCCACTGGTGTTTCAACTGTTTAAAATTGATCAGGGACCACAAAAAGAAACTCGTGCTTCTCCGAAGAAAAATATCTAAACATCGAAAAACAATATTATGGGGGGGGGGGGGACATTGCAAAATATAAAATAAATTAAAAAAGGAAAGGAAACTTTGGACCTTATGTACCGAGCAAATGCCAGGTCTAGCAAAAATAATGCTAGTCCTAGATTACTTACTGATTTAAAAACAAAAACAAAAAAACACACACAAAAAATAGTAAAATATAAAAACAATTTAATGTTTTATAGACCCCAGGAAAAAGAATTTTCAGCAAAGTACAAAAATGTAAAGCATTCCTTTCTTTAATTTTGTAATTCTTTACTGTGGAATAGCTCAGAATGTCACTTCTTTTTTAAATAACAGAATTGATAACTGAGCAAGGAAACATAATTTGGATTATAAAACACTTGCTTTAATAAAAATTCCTTAAACAGTAAAAAAAAAAAAAAAAAGAGTGAGGGATTTTTTACACTATCACACTTAATCCTCAAAGCAAAATATGGGTAGAAGTTGTTGTTATAAGCATTTTGTAATTGAAACACCTGAGCTTCTGAAAAATTCCTTAGCTCCCCAAGGTCATTCACAGAACACAGCAGAGTCAGGGTTTGAACCAAAGTTTGTGATCTTAACCACTAAGCAAGACTACCACTCCTGCCTCTACAAAGAAGACTGTAGGCCTCTACTGAGGAATTTGTAAGAACACCCCACTCAATAGAGACAGGGTTTGAAGTGGATAACTGTGTATCATAAAGGGTGTCTGTTCTTATCTATATATATAAAAGCCAAGTGACCAGAACAACTGGAACAACTGGTCGCTATGACGAGCACTGTGGCCAGCCAACCAGCCGATGTAGGCAGGGCCAGCTGGCCAACCTCCCATGGCCCCTCCCCTTGGCTGGCCCAGCCCCCAATCAGCCCCAATGGGGGCAGGCTGGCCAGACCACACCGATGCACAAATTCGTGCACTGGGCCTCTAGTCAGTTTATATTTAAATGCAATGCAAACCCAATAAAATCCTGACAATTTTTTTAGGTAACAACTTTATTCATATCAGGATTTTTTTTTCCTTAATTCACTATATTATTCTAATTTCTGGAAGTCTAAACATGGAAATTCATTTAAAAAGAGGATAACTTGCCCTAGCTGATATTAAGATATACTATAAAGTCACAGTCACTGGGAATAAAATAGGCCAGGTTCTCAGCCTGGGCAGTTTGCCCCTTAAAGGTATTCTGCAAAATCTGGTAACGTTTTTGATCATTACTGAGGATGGGATTCTCTGGCAGCTGGTGGTTGAGGTCAGGGATGCTGTTAAACAACTTACATTGCCCTCTCCATCCTCCTCCTCCCCCCCAAAATTAAAAAAATCTCACAGTGCCCAAAACAGCCCCTTACTCCCAACCCTGGCAATTATTGGGCCCCAAGTAAAGAATGACCATGCTCCCAACTGTCAATAGTGCCAAGGTTGAGAAACTAAAATAGGCAAATAAATACAACAGAGTAGAGAGGTGTCCTCAAACCTCCTTTCCTACACCAACTCTGACATTGCCCCAAAATTAAAAACATCTCCACAGCATAAAAACAAAGACAAGATATAAACCATAACCTGGGGGGAATATTTGCAATATATATGTCAGACCAAAAAAAAAAAAAAGAAATCCATGATATACAAAGAGTTTTTACAAATCAATAAGGAAAAGACAACCCTCACAGATAATACAGGCAAGGCACACAGAGTAGTCAGAAATTAAAAACATACATAAAATATAATAATACAAAGTGAAAATTATATATAGACTACATGTATCCAATGTAATAATAAAATGCAGATTAAAATGAGATACTGCCCAGCCGACGTGGCTCAGTGGTTGAACACTGACCTATGACCCAGGAGGTCACGGTTCGATTCCCAGTCAGGGCACATGCCTGGGTTGCGGGCTCCATCCCCAGTGGGGGATGAGCAGGAGGCAGCCGATCAATGATTCTCTCTCATCATGGATGTTTCCAGCTCTCTCCCTTTCCCTCCCTCTCTGAAATCAATAAAAACATATGAAAAAATAAATAAAATGAGGTATTATTTTGACAAGAAAAACACACAAAGCCTGCAAATACTGCAGGCACCGCCTTTTGAGTCAGACAGCCTGGGAAGGGCCCTTGGGGTCCTCTGTTACTGGCAGTAATAAGTACGACTAGCGACGAAAGCTTCTATTCTCCCATCTCAGAGGAAAGCTGCAAAGGGCGCCCACCGCAGATGTGGCTACCTAATGAATAGTCTCAATTTATGTTGACCAAGTGCCGGATAAACAGCATTCTTTCATATACACTGGCCTTGTTTGACTGTATAAATCTGTACAAATCCAATCTTCCTCGTGCAAATCCACTAGAGGCAATCTCGGGAAATTTTATTAGCTGTAATGATTTATTCAGGCCTCTTGAGTGCCATTTATTTCCCAGTAGAAATGTTTAGAGTATTTCAGTATTTCATTATTCACTGATTTTTCCCCTAAAGTCCATTAAAAGTTAAAGAAAAAAAATTATATATGTATCTCCTACTGGGCTACAAATATCCCTAATGGTTTGGGCAGTGCTTAGGAATATCTCTGTACAAATAATATTTGTACATAACCCTAATATCTTAAAAGAAGCTCTTCTATAAAAGGGAAAAAATTCCCTTTACATTTGCTGTTTCTAAATTAACTTAAATTCATGATTTGGTAGAGCACGCAAACATAAAGGTTGTCATTTATTGTGCCAATGGGAATTGTGATTCCCGGGCAGCATGAGGTCAGGTGAAACCCCAAATTCCGGTATAGACTGACCCAGTGCTGCCAGGTCCCCAGACACCATTTCTGGGAAGCTCAAGTTGCCTGATGGGCCGGTTCATGGAAGGCATTCTATCCCACAAATGGGCTGCTTGGACTTGCCACCGAAACCCGCCCTTCAGTCGCACATCACATGCGGAAAGAGCCCAGCCATGGTCACCATTTGCCCAGCGCCGGGCCCACAGTCACAGATGCCCGGGAGGGAAGGTGTTTCTGAGCCCAGGGATCTAAGGCCTGTGAGTTGTGTGAAAGGAGGACCCAGAAACAAAAGCCTTGGGGGAAGAAGACAGTTACTTGTAAAGTGGGTACAAGGAAGTCATTCTTCAGGGTTACTGGCTTGTTGAACAAAATACCTAAGGGATTTGAAAGAAAACACACGCACGAGAGCACCAAAGCCACCAGGTTTACCTTGAGTCTGTTCATGGTGAGCCTCGTTATAAAATGGGGATGTGTCTTTGGCCAACAGCTCTGCAAAGAGGAAGGGTAAGATTAACTTACAGAACTGCCCCACATCTCCCACTGGTTCCCCAACTTCCTTGGAGAAGGAGTTCCAAGTCCCTTACCAGGTCTCACAAGCTGGTCTCCCAAATGTTTGTTGAATGAATGAATCAGGAGGAGTTTGGGCATCTGAGAAACAAAGAATTACAGATAAACCAACAGCTGTCCCTTTGTCTTTCCCTATGGACCCCAGGGAGTGGGCAGTGACAAGATTCCCAGAATGGTGCTCAGCAGAGAGGTGGAATTGTCCCAAGACCCTGGGGAAACAGGGCCCACAGCCTCTCAGCTCTGCTCTCACCTTTTTTTCTCAAAAAGAAGCAGCATCTCCTGCCTCCTCACACCTGGGACACACACAGGCTCAATCCCCAATGTGGGGCATGCAAGAGGCAGCCAGTCAATGATTCTCTGTCATTATTGATGTTTCTATCTCTCTATCTCTCTTCCTTCCTCTCTGAAATCAATGGGGGGACAAAAGCCACAAGAATGTCAGAAACTCTGTGCCACTTTTGGAGCAGTGTTTATGTACTAGCGTCCTGAAGGAAAATGGAAGACCTCTTGCTGTTCAATTCATTCTTCTCATCCCGCCAGGTTCATCTGACCCAGAGCTGGTGTGAAGTTTATTCTGTTATTCTGTGTTAGGAGGAATGCTACCATTGTCATCTCTGATTTTCCATCTCAGAGAACAACGTAGGAGCCACTGATCCTTTGGAGTGAAATTGGGGACATAACAAACACAGAAGTAGCAAGAAATGATGCAAATGATACAGGCCATTAAAGAGTAAAACCCACGAGTGATGTGAGGATCTGAGAAGAATCACTCCTGGTGGGCAAATGTTTGCTGAGGCTAAAGGACTTGTTCCATCCTCACCGCACATATTACACTACTACGAAGGAAATAAGAGTTCAGTGGAGATTGCCAAAACCGGTTTGGCTCAGTGGATAGAGTATTGGCCTGTGGACTGAAGGGTCCCAGGTTCGATTCCAGTCAAGGGCATGTACCTGGGTTGCGGGCACATCCCCAGTGGGAGATGTGCAGGAGGCAGCTGATCGATGTTTCTCTCTCATCAATGTTTCTAATTCTCTATCTCTCTCCCTTCCACTCTGTAAAAAATCAATAAAATATATTTTTTTAAAAAAAGAGTTCAGTGGAGATCATAGCCAGTGTTACATTTCGTATTTGTCTGATGTATGTCAACGAAATTGTTCCATCCCTCTATTCCTCCAAAACTACTCAGCCCTCAACAGAACCCCCTCTGTGAATGTGGAACAGGAAACTCCATGAGGATGGGACTGAGCCTGGATCTCCTCCTTTTGAACCCTGCTCTCCAGCCTGGTCAATTCTATAGACTCTTGTTGAAGCAATGGGCCCAACACAACTACCAGCCTCAGACACAGGAAGTTCCCGTGATTTCTCCCACTTTATCATCTTCTACGCTCACCCCCTCTGCATGCTAAGTAGATGCAAACAAATGGTACTTCCCTGCCTACACAAAGCGCACAGGGGACACCAGCCACGCCTTGAGCCAGAGATGACAAATCGCGTTGGATTTGTGTGTCAATAACGAACTGGCAGTGGCTGCTTGGAGTGGGAGAATGTGCAGGATTCAGAGGCCACAGCTGATTTCCGTGGGAAAGAGGATGGTGATCCCTAGTTGGGCGTAGGGGTGGGGAGTGAAAAATGGTAGCCCGTTGGCCATGCACTTTCCATT